TCTCTTTTTTGTTATTTTTTTTAATTTTTAAATCAAAATAAATAACTTTTTAAAAATCAATATAAATTAAAAATAAATTGATTTTAAATAAACAATATTTTTTAAATATATTATTTAAAAAATTAAATAATTCAATTCTAAAATTACAAAAATGTAATTTCTTTAACAAAATTTAATCACTTTTTTTTGAAATTAAATTCCTTTATAATTAAAACTCTATAACAATTTAATTTTAATACAATTTAATTTAATTTTTATAATTTATTTTTTTTTACAAAAAATCTTTAATTTTTAATATATTTTTTAAAATAAAAAATATATTTATTTTATTTAAATTTTATTTTTATTTATATATCTTTTTTCAAGTTTATATTAATTAAAATCATTATTAAAAATATAGAATAATAATTCAATATTTAAAAAAAATAATAATTAATTTTATTAATTAATACAATAAAAAAAATAATTATTTATTTTGATTTTTAAATATATTATTTATTTGATTTTTATTTTTAAAAATAAAATAAATAATTAAAATAATTGGAATTAAAAATATTAATCATAAAAGATGTAATAAATCATTTTCTTTATTTTTTAATTTATTATTATTATTATTATTATTATTATTATTATTATTATTATTATTATTATTATTATTATTATTATCTATTTTTTTAAATTCTTTATTATTTTTAACTTCTTTATTTTGATTAATATTTATCAATAAATTTTTAGAATTTAATCATTCTTTAAATAAATAAAATTTTTGTTTTGAATTTATAATTTCTTCTTTTTTACTTACTAATAATGTGCCATCACTATTAAAATCATCTAATGTTAATTTAAATTTATTATTATTAATAAATTCTTTTGATTTTGTTTGTAAATTTTTATTTTTTTTTGATTTTAATATAAAACTAAATTTAAAATGACCTACTTTATAAACTTCATTTATTCAATTTTTATAAATATTTTTTGAATTTAATCTATCTAATCATATTTTAATTTTATTAATAGTATTTAAATTTAATTGATTAACTTTCATATATCCATTTTCATTAAAAGCAATATGTGAAAAATTTAAATTATTTAATTCTAAAATATCATCTTCTTTACCATAAACTTCTTTTGCAAGTTTAATTAAATCTTCTTTTTGATAAATCATAAAATTTAAAGTAAGTCATTTAGCAAAAGTTTCATAAACTTTTTTGATTTCATTATTATTAAAATTATTAATTAAAACACTAAATTTTTGAAGTGTTAACGTTTTAATATTATCTTTATCAATTAACTTAATATTTTTAGTTAAAGCAGATTTATAAATTGCATAATTTAATTTATCTATAAATTTTAAAGTTTCATTTGTATGTTCTTTATGATTAATATAATCTATTAAAGCAAAAATATTATCATTAACTGATATTAAATTATTTTTTCTTGATTTTTCATTATAAATTAAAAAATTAGTAACTAAAATTCAATTCATAAATATATCTTTTTCTGATTTTTTTCATCCAATAAAATTATAATTATTTCTTATTTGTATTTCATTATTTATATTTTTAAAAATATCATTAAAATTAAAAATTATTTTTTCTTTTATTCCTAATTTTTCAAATATTTTTAAATTTTTTTGAAGTCTTTTTAATTCAAAAACATTATTTAAATCATCAAATTCTAATACATAAAATCCTTCACTATTTGTTCCAAGAAGATATTTTTTATTGTCTAACTTTTTTATAACAGAATTATGTGAAATTACAGTATCATCAACTCAATTTCAAGAAATATCCACTTTATTATTTTGATCATCAAATCTTTTTAATGTTTCACATCAAAAAATATCTTTTATATCATCAAATTCAAAAAAATAAAAACCTTTGTCATTTGTACTAATAATATATTTATTATTACCTAAACTTTCTATTAAAGATTCTTTTGCAATATATCCATCATTTAAAAAATAATGATCATTTAAATTTTTAAATTTTATTGATATTTTTTTTATAATAAATTCATTTATTTTATTATTAAATTTAAATAAATAAAAACCTTTATTATATGTTCCAACAAGATATTTATTATTTCCTAAATTTTTTATTGAAGAATATTTAGCTATATCATTAATTATTAAATCCAAATTATTTTCTTTCATAGAAATTTTACTTATTTGAAATTTATCAATTTTATTATTAAATATAAACAAATAAAAACCTTTATTATATGTTCCAACAAGATATTTATTATTTCCTAAATTTTGTATTGAAGAAAATGCAGCAATTTTACCAGAAATAAAATCATTAATAATAACACTTTGATCATTAATTTCATTAATTTTATTAACTTTAAAATAATTATTTAAATCATTAAATTCTAATAAATAAAAACCTTTATTATATGTTCCAAGAAGATATTTGTTATTTCCTAAACTTTGTATTGATGAAGAATAAGAAACTCAACAAGAAAATAAATTTAAACTTGCACTTCTTTCTAAACATATTTCATTTTCTAAATTAGAATAAGTTAAATCTAAAACTAAAGAATTATCTGATTTTTTTATTCTGTCTAATTTAAAATTATTATTTTCATCATCAAATTCAAAAAAATAAAAACCTTTATTATATGTTCCAAGAAGATATTTGTTATTTCCTAAACTTTTTATATTTGAATTTAATGCAATACTTTCTATATTATCAAATTCATTATTTATATTATTATTTTCAAAATTAATTCATTTTATTTTCTTTGTATAAAATGTATTATTTATATTATTAAAATGCAAAAAATAAAATCCATTATATGTTCCTAAAATATATTTATTATTACCCAAATATTCAATTGAAGATTTTTTTGCAACATCATCTGTAGATAAAAAAGAAATATCTTCTTTATTACTATGAATAAAATTATACAAATATTGTTTAAATAAAATATTTTCATTTTTTATTATTTTTTCTTTAAATATTTTTTCTTTTACTTGTGAATTTAAAAAATAATTTTTATTATTTAAAAATTTATTAATATTAATAAATAATAAGAAAAATATTATAAATAAAAATAAAATATTTAAAACTTTTGTTAATATCACATTTGTATTTTAATTTATTTTTTTTATTTTTTTTATTTTTTTTATTTTTAAAAATAATATAATATTTTAAATAAATTAATCAGTAAAAAACTATATATTAACAATCAAAAAAAATAAAAAAATAAATTTAATCTTATTTATTAAATAAATATTTTTTTAAATTAATTAATTAAATCTTTAAAAATAAAAAATTTATACTTAACTTTTTAAATAAAATATTAAATGAAATAAATTAATTCTAATAAAAAAAGTTTAGATGTATTTATTTTTACATCTAAACTTTTTTCTTAATTTTCTAATATAAAAAAATAAATTTTAAATATTAATAAAAACTTAAATTTTTCTAAGAAGACATTACTGATTCAAATAATTTAAAAATAGCATGTTTATTAGAAATTTTTTCAATTGCTTTTAATGCTATTGTTTTTAAATGTTTTTTTTGTTCTTTTAAAATTGTACTATCTGTTACAAGTGTAAATTGTTTTAAATCTAAATTTCCAAATATTCATGAAAGTTTTTGTATATTTTCAATACTTGAATCATTTAAAAATGATAATTTTGAATTTTCATCTGCACCATAATCAACTGAAAAAGTTGAATATCATTGAACATCTCTTTTAGCTCAATCAGCTATTTTTTTTCATATTATTTTGTTTTGATCATTAACTGTTAATTCTTCTAATTCTAATAAATCATTAATACTTGCTTTTTTTCATTTTATAGCAAGTTGGAAAACAACAGCCATATCATTTTGTTCTTCTATATTTACATATGCAGTTCTAAATTCCCTATTTTCTTTTTTTAACATAAATTCTGGAAATACCAAATCAATTTGTTCTTTTGCTTTTGTTGCAATTAATTTTATATCATTTTTATGTTCTGAAATAACTATATTTTCATCAATCACATTTTCATGAATAAAATTTTCTATAAAATCTATTATAAAAGGATCTTCATGTAAATTATTGTATCAAATAGCGTTTTTTTTAGCTCATTCTACAATTAATTTTCATTTTGATTTATCATTTGTTTCACCTGATATATTTAAATTCAAATTATTCAAACTTTCAGTTGTGGCATCAATTCATTGTTTAGCTAAATTTCAAGCGTCCTCTAATTTATTTTTTATTGTTGCTCTTTCATCTATTCATGCATTTTGTAAATCATCAACATATGTTTTATCAGCTTTTTTTCTTAAAATTTCAAAATTTTTAAATATTGGAAATAGTAAATCAATTTGTATAAATGCTTTTCTTGATATTGATTTTAATACATTTTTTTTGTCATTATCAAAAGTATCATCATCACTTAAAATATCATCAATTAAAGTTTTTTCTTCATTATGCGTGTTGTATCAATGATTATCTGTTTTAGCTCATCTAGAAATAATTTGTCATTTAATAAAATCATCATCAATTACATCCAAATTTTTTATGTTTAAATCATCAATATCTTTTCATTGTTTAGCTAAATCTCGAGCATTTTCTAATACTTGAAAATCATCTATTCATTCTAATTTTCTAACATAAATTTTTGAAGCATCTTCCTTTGATAACAAATTTCTTGTTTCTTCAATATTTGCTTTATTATTTAAATTATTTCTTAATTCATCAAAATTTTTAAATATTGAAAATACTAAATCAATTTGTGCTTTTGCTTTTATTGCAATTGTTTTTATATCATTTGTTGGAGCTGTAAATGCTAATCTTTTTGATATTAAATCATCTATTGTCATTTTTATATTAGATGAAGCATCATTATTATATCAATTTGTATCTTTTTTAGCTCATTCTGCAATTAATTTTCATTGTGATTTTTGTTCATCAGTTCAAGATTGAAAAACATCAGGTGTAGAATCGATTCATTGTTTAACTAAAATTCAAGAAGATTCTAATAATTTAAAATGTTCTATTCATTTTGTATCATCACCTGCTGGCCCTGTATCACCTTTGTCACCTTTGGGTCCTGGTTCTCCTGTATCACCTTTGTCACCTTTGGGTCCTGGTTCTCCTGTATCACCTTTGTCACCTTTGGGTCCTACTGGTCCAACTTTAGAAGTAGCTTCTTCTATATTTTTTACTGTTTTTTTTGTTGAAGTTTTTGATTCTTCTAAAGATGATATTGATTCTTCTTTTTCTGTTTTTGATTTTTCAGAATTATTTACTGTTACAACACCGATCATAGCAGATGTTGTACAAATAGCTACAACACCTAAAACTAATAATCCTTTTTGTAGTAAAGATGCAGTTTTAATTTCATCTTTTAATTCACTGAAATATTTATTCATTTTTATATCCTTTCATAGATTTTTAACTTTATTTTATTATTTTTTTTATTTTTTTTATTTTTTTTATTTTTTGTATTTTTAAAAATAATAAAATATTTTAAATAAATTAATCAGTAAAAAAATATATATTAAAAAATTAAAAAAAGATATATTTTTAAATTTAAATTAAATAAAAAATTATAAATTAATAATTTTAATTATTAAATAATTTTTTTTATTCTAATATACTTTTTTTTTTTTTTTTTAATTATTTATTAAATTTAACTTTTAAAACTTTTTTTATTTTTATTGAATTTTTTATATTATTTTTTATATTTATATTTAAATTTTTAAATAAAATATTAAATTAAATAAATTAATTCTAATAAAAAAGTTTAGATATATTTATTTTTACATATAAACTTTTTTATTAATTTTGTTAATATAAAAAATAAATTTTAAATATTAATAAAAACTTAAATTATTTTAACTTCTAGTTCTAATTAATTAAATTATTTCAGTAATTGAACCAAATATTAAAATTTTAAAATCAAATTTAACCAATTCTTAATTTACTTTTCTAACAATTAATCTTAAAATTACTTATCTTCATTTTCAAAAAATAATTGGTCTTCTAAATTTTGTTTATTCTAAAGTTTAAATTATTCATTAATTTTTTACAATATTTTAAAAACTTTAAATATTTAAAAATATTTTTTTTATAACTTCATTATCAAAATAATAACTTAAAAAAGTTCTATATCAAAAATTATCTTTTTTAGCTAAAAAAGCTATTTATTTTCATGTTTCTTTGTTTTTATAATTAACCCTTGAATATGTAAATGTAAAATACATATAAGTAAGATATTTTTAATCTTTATCAAATTTGTAAATATTTAAAAATTTTATTACTTCTTCTAACTTAAATACTGGAAATAATAAATTAATTTTTTATTTTGCTTTTGTTACTATAAATTTTAAGTTATTTTTTTAACATCAAAATTAATACCAAAAACAAAAACTCATGATTTAATACTATCAATTAAAGTTTTAATTTTACCAGTATAAAATTTAGTTTCTTTTTTAACTAATTCTGAAATTAACTTTCATTTAGTTTTATAATTAACATTTACATTTAAATTATTTGTTAAATTAGTATTCTTTTATTTTTTATATAAAGTTAAAGCAATTTTTAATTATTAATAATAATTTATTAATTCATATTTAAAAGCTTTAGTGTTTACATCTTTTACTTTGACTTTAGTAGTTACTAATTCTTTAAATATTGTAATATCTAAATATATTTTTTCTTTTACTTTTTTTTATTGATTTTAATTTATTTTGATCAGAAATAGTAATATCAAATTCAAAATCTCATTATTCAATATCATCAATTAAAGTTTTGTTTTTGAATTACCATCAAGATTATATCAAGTAGTATCTTTTTTAACTCATTTTATAATAGATTATCATTTATCTTTTTCAAAAAAAGTTGAAGTTAAATTAATTTTATCAACAGTATTTTCTTTTCATTATTTAGCTAAATTTAAAAAATATACTAATAATTTATAATCAGTTATTCATTATTCTTTTTCACCTTTAGGTCCTTGTGGACAACTTTAGAAGTAGATTCTTCTATATTTTTTAATATTTCTTTTTTTGAATTTTTTGACTCTTCTAAAGATGATATTGATTCTTCTTTTTCTGTTTTTGATTTTTCTTAAACATTTACTTATACAATACAAATCATAGTAGTTGTTTTACAAATAATTACAAAACCTAAAACTAATAATCCTTTTTCTAAAATAAATACTGCTTTAATTTTGTCAATTAATTCTTCAAAATTATGATTAATTTCATAAACCTTTTTTTAAAATTAAAACCTATATTTATTTTTTTATAAATATATTAATTTTTTAAAAAGTACTTTTTAATATTTTCTATTACAAATAAATTCTATTATTTTTTATTTGTATTATTTTTATAAAATAAATGTGTTTTTCTATTTATATATGATCTAATTAAATTTTAAAAATTATCATAATAAAATATTTTAAATATTTTTAATAAATCATAAATAATTATATTTTTTAATATTTAAAATGTTTTACTTTATATTAAAAATTTATTAATTTCTTATTTAACTTTATTAACTATAATTTAAATATATTTATTTTTTTTAAAAAACTATATATTTAATATTATCAAATTTATCAATTATAGTTTTTAAATATCAATTTTTATTTAAAATTTTATTTATTATTAACTTTTTTAAATTTATTAATTTTTTTATTTGAATTATGAATAATAATTTATCTAAAAATTAATTATTAAATTTAAAAATATTATTTACTAATTTTAATAAAAAAAATATTTTAAAAACTTAGACAAAGAACCAAAAGAAACAAAATCAGCAAAAGATATTAAATTATTTTTATGTCATCTCTTGTAATTATTTAAAATAATTATTCATTTCATTTTTAATTTTTAACATTGTATTTTTTTTAATATTATTTTTTTACAAAAATATCTATTGATTTCTTAAATATAAAAAATAATTTATTATAAACCAATTAAACTAATTAATACTGGTTCATATATACCAACATAAATATCACTTACAATATATGCTTTACCACTTGTTTTTTCAATTTCAACTTTTACTAATATTTTTTCAAGACTATTAATAGAAATTTTTATTTCATAGATTTGTACTTCATATTCTCTATTATCAAGTCAAAAAAGTTTTTTATTTTCTATTCTAGGTTCTATTCCGAATATAAAATCTTTATATTTTTTAATAATTTGAGCAAACAAAACTTCTGTTGGTCCTCTTAACATATTGTTTTGTCTTTGACTTTCAAATGAATTAAATAATTCTTGTTTCATTTTTTCAAACATAAAACTACTTAATGTTTGTTCAGTATATTCATCAAATCCAATTATTCCATTTTCTAATGTTTTTAAACCAACTACAAAAATACCTTTTCTAGGACCAAAATTGAATTTTCTAACAATAACTTTACCATTTTCATAATCTATTACATGATTATTTAACTTTGTTTTTTGTATTGCTTTTTCAATAAATAATTTAAAATTATCAAGACTTTCACTAATTCAATCAAAAGCATTTTTAGATGTTAATTGTTCTCCTCCATAAAATCAACTAGGTATTTCATCAAATTGAGGTAAGAATGGTAATTCAAAAAAAGTATCTTTTCATTCTCATTGTTCAGACAAATTATAATTAGCATATTGATATTTACCAGCATTTTCACCAGATTTTTTAATTCTTAAACCAACATCATCAAAATAAGTAATCCATGTATCAGTTAAACTATACAAATTTCTAGAATTTACAACATAATCAAAGTTCTTTTTATCACTACTTAATCAAGTTTGCAATTCATTTAATTCTATATTTGGAGTTCCATATCAACTTGGTAATCCTAATTTATCTTTTATTTCACTTGCACTTAATGTTTTTTTAATTAAAGAAACTTCTTTTTTTTCATCTAAACTTTTTGAATTTTCACTAGAACCTTGATCTTTATTTTGAATTATTCTATTTTTTATTTTTCCTTTTTGTGAAGATATTTCATTCTTTACTTTTTCTGAATCATTTAATGACAAAACAATAGAAATTGTACATATCAAACCTATTATTATTAAAAAACAAAAAAATAATAATATCTTTTTTAAAAATGAAGCTTTTATAAAATAATATTTTAATTTTTTAAAATATTTATTCATTACATTTATTATTTTATATTTATTTTTTTATTTTTTTTTATTTTTTTTTTATTTTTTTTTATATAGTTATTTTTTTAAGTATTTTTAAATTAAAAATATATAAATATTTAATTGTTTTTATTTAAATAAATTTACTTTTTTAAATGTTTGATTAGATTAAAATAAAACAAATTTTAATTTTACAAAAAATAATTTAAAATCTTTTACCAATTTTAAAAATACATAAAAATAATAATATTTTGTTATAAAATATAATACTTTAATTTATAAAATAAATAATTATAATTTTTATTTTTTAAAAATTATATTTTTATTATTCTAATGGATAACCAAAGTTTGCTCTTTCATTTTCTGGTCTACTATTTATATATGAAGTATAATCACCATACCAAACACTAGCTGATAAAGTACCATTTAATAATCTTCTTACTCTTAATCATATTTTTTTATAAATATAATTTTTTTCTCATAATCCTTGTAAATATGTAAATGATGAATATAATTTTTTATCATTTATAAAAAATTCTTGATTTTTATATTTATTTTCAGAATTATATAATCATTCTGTTACTTTAGATTGAATTGATGCTCGAGTTTTATTTTTAAAAGTATCATCACTAAATCAACTAGGTATTATTATAATTGTTCCATCATTTGTAGTGTATGTTTCTGTATTTGAATTGTCTTTTATTAATTCAAAAATTGCAGAAATTTTTTGTTGCATTTTATTAATTTTTATATCATTATCATCTGTTGGTAAAATATCACCACCTTTCATTAATGCAAATAATAATTTTTTATATGATATTTTAGGTTTAGTTTTTGGTAATATTTTATTGATTTTAATGTCAACTGCTTCAATGATTTTTAAAACATCTTCTTTATTATTAACAAAGTCAATATCTTCACCTCTAAAAAAAGTATCAATTATTGTTTTTATATTTTCATCAGCATCTGATGCAGTATATATTTCTAATTCTTTTGCAAATATAGCAAGACTTATATATTCATTTTTATTTGAATCATCAATATTAATATCTTCATTAGAATCTAATTTAGATTTAATATTATTAATTAATGTTCTTATTGAAACTATATTATTAATATAAGATTTAACTTGTTCTTGTATTTCACTTGAAGTTGGATTTCTACCATCTAAACCAGGATTTCCTTTTGGACCTTGAATTAAAATGTCATTAAAGTTTCTATATAAATAATTAATTAAAGTTTGAATAATTTGTTTATTAGAAAGAAAGTCAATATCATTACCAAGAGCAAGATTATCAATTATAGTTTTTAATTCTTGATCAGCATTATCAGCATTATATATTGTTTGTGTTTTTACAAATTCAGCTAATTGTATATATCTGTTCTTATTTGAATCATTAATAGTAATTTCTCTATTAGCAGCTAATGCATCATTTATAACAAATAATAACACTCTAATGTTTGATATATCTTCAATAAAAGATTGAACTTGTGATCGTATTTCTTCATTTGTTGGATTTCTACCATCTAAACCAGGATTTCCTTTTTGACCTTGTGGTAATATTTCATTAATTTCTGTTTTAATTACATTAAGTATATTTTTAAGATTTATTTTTTCATCATCATTTAAAACACCAGTTGTTTGTTCAATTAATTTATTAATAAGAATTTTTACAGGATCATTTTCATTTGCATTAGTATATATTGATAATTCTTTTGCAAATTCAGCAAGTTTTTTATAATCTTCTTTATTTGTATCATTAATTGTAATAGTTTGAATAGTATCAATTGTATTTACAAATGTTCTAATACTTGCTATTTCTTTAATAGCTTCTTTTATTTGTTCTAATGATGCATTTTGTCCTGCTGGTCCTGCTGGTCCTGCTGGTCCTGGTTCACCTCTTTCTCCTTGTACACCTCTTAAACCTTGAATACCTTGTTCGCCTCTTAAACCTTGAATACCTTGTATACCTTGTGGTCCTGGTAAACCTCTTTCTCCTCTTTGTCCTGGTTCACCTCTTTCTCCTCTTTGTCCTGGTTCACCTCTTTCTCCTCTTGGTCCTGGTTCACCTTGTGGTCCTGTTGGTCCTTGTTCACCTCTTTCACCTTGTTGTCCTGCTGGTCCTTGTTCTCCTCTTAAACCTCTTTCTCCTCTTTGTCCTTGTTCACCTGTGTCACCTTTAGGTCCTGGAACACCTGCTGGTCCTTGTTCTCCTCTTTCACCTTGTTGTCCTTGTTCACCTTGTTGTCCTCTTTCACCTTGTTGTCCTCTTTCACCTTGTTGTCCTCTTTCACCTTGTTGTCCTCTTTCACCTTGTTGTCCTTGTTCGCCTTGCGGTCCTGGTTCACCTTGTGGTCCTCTTGCACCTGTGTCACCTTTAGAACCTGGAACACCTGCTGGTCCTCTTAAACCTTGTTCTCCTCTTTGTCCTTGTGCACCTGTGTCACCTTTAGGTCCTGGAACACCTGCTGGTCCTTGTTCTCCTCTTTGTCCTTGTGCACCTTGTGGTCCTACAGGTCCTTGTTCACCTCTTTCACCTTGTTGTCCTTGTTCACCTCTTAAACCTTGGGTGCCTTGTTCACCTTGCAGTCCTCTTTCACCTTGTTGTCCTTGTTCACCTTTAGGTCCTGGAACCCCTGCTGGTCCTCTTGCACCTGTATCACCTTTAGGTCCTGTTGGTCCTGGTTCACCTTGTGGTCCTCTATCACCTGTGTCACCTTTAGTACCTGGAGCACCATTTTGTCCTGCTGGTCCTTGTGGTCCTCTTGGTCCTTGTTCTCCTCTTGGTCCTTGTGGTCCTCTTGGTCCTTGTGGTCCTTGTGGTCCAACTTTAAAAGCAGCTTCTTCTATATTTTTTACTGTTTCTTTTGTTGAAGTTTTTGACTCTTCTAAAGATGATATTGATTCTTCTTTTTCTGTTTTTGATTTTTCAGAATTATTTACTGATACAACACCAATCATAGCAGCTGTTGTACCAATAGCAACAACACCTAAAACTAACAATCCTTTTTGTAGTAAAGAAGCTGTTTTAATTTCATCTTTTAATTCTTTAAAATAATTATTCATTTCTCTTTTTCCTTTCTTTTTTTCAATAAAATAAACTATTTTTATTTTATTTTTTTATTATTAATTTTTTTTTATTTTTTATTCATTTATTTATAATTAAAATATCAAAAAATAAAAAAATGTAATTTTTTAAATTTTAAAATTATTAATCATAATATCAAAATTAATACCTGACATTATAAATTCTCCAACATATAAATTTTTAACTTTTATTAATCTTAACTTTTTATATTAATATAATTATAATCTTCATCATTTCTTATAATTATTGTTAATCTAAAAAATAATTAAATATTTACATTATTTTGAAATTATTCTATAACTTCTTATTTTAAATATTTAGTTTTTACACCAGATATTACATGTAAATCACATAAATATAGTAATAAATTTTTTCAATAATTAATACTAATTTTTGATCTTTTTTTTTTTTTTTTTGTAATTATCAATTATATTGGAACTTATCCTTTTTTCTATTCCTGGTGTTTATTCTGATTTTTATTATCTTTGTAATTGGATCTTGTTATTTTTTTTGGATTGAACTATCTAAATTAGATATTGAATTTTTGGCTTTTGAAATTAAAATATCAATTTATCCTTTTTTTAAATTTTTTTGATCTTATTGTTATTATCTATATGGTTTAAATAAAATATCAGATTATCCTTATTTGTATTCTTATTCTTCTATTTTTTGCAAACTATCTAAAACTGGTTTTGTATTTGTAATTTTTAAAATTGAAATATCTGGTTTTATTATTATATTTTGTTTTTAATCTAATTCTTTTTTAAATTTTTATTTATTTTTTATTTTATTTTTAGTTTGTAAATTATACATTTATAAAATTTTTTTAATTTATTTTGATTGTTTGATTTTTTTTATCATTATTAAATAATAATTATAAATATACAATTATTAAAATTATAATTATAATAAAAAACTTTTTTTCAAGTACTTTTTTAATATTTTTATAAAAAATTATTTTTAAATTACATTTTTATATTTTTTTCATTTTATAGATTGTTTTATAAAATGAATAATAAAATAAAAATAATCTTATTTATATATACCAATATATCTAATAAATATTTTTTAACTTTATTAATTATATTTTCTACATATATTTTTGTAAAACACTTATATCTAAAAAAAAATTAAATTTATAAATTATACTTTTTTAAATATTTAATAAATTTTTTAAATTTATATTTATTTAAATGATAAAAAATACCTAAAAATAAATTATTTATTGTAAAAAATATTTTAATTAAATTCTTAAAATATCTTAAAATAAATAAAAAAATATCTTATTAATTTATCCTATTATATATAAATAAACTTTTTTAAATTATAAATTAAATAATTAAATATACTTTAAATATATAAAAAAACAATATTATTTTTAAATTTTACTTTATTATTTTTATAATCAATCATTAATTAAATAAGTCCAGCTTTTATGTCTTCCACAATTGTTCTTAATTGAGTATAAGCTTGTCTTAATGCAGTAATTTCTGTTCTAGCAGCTTCTAGTCGAGATGTTAATCCGACAATTTCTGATTGATGTCCATTTAATGTTGTTCTTACTTGAGTAAAACCTGTTCATAATCTTGGAACAGTATCATCTAAAGCTGTTGTTTGTGCAGCTGTTAATGTTCCGGCTGGTCCTGCTGGTCCTCTTTCACCTTGTGGTCCTTGTTCACCTGGATCACCTTTTTCACCTTTTTCACCTGCTGGTCCTCTTGTTAATGGATTAGCTGTAAAGTATGCTTGAACTGCTGCTGCTATTTGTTCAGGTGTAACATTAGCACCATTAGTTATTGGGTGTTGTATAAAGTATGCTTGAACTGCTGATGCTATTTGTTCAGCAGTTGGAGATGGTCCAGCTGGTCCTCTTTCACCTGTGTCACCTTTAGCACCTGGAGCACCTGCTATTCCTGTTAACCCTCTTGGTCCTTGTTGTCCTCTTTCACCTGTTTCACCTTTAGGTCCTTGTGGTCCTACTGGTCCTCTATCACCTGTGTCACCTTTAGCACCTGGAGCACCATTTTGTCCTGCTGGTCCTTGTGGTCCTGGTAAACCTCTTTCACCTCTTTGTCCTGGTTCACCTCTTTCACCTCTTTGTCCTGGTTCACCTCTTTCACCTCTTGGTCCTGGTTCACCTTGTGGTCCTCTTTCACCTGTGTCACCTTTAGCACCTGGAGCACCTGTTGGTCCTGCTGGTCCTGTTGCACCTCTTTCTCCTTGTGTACCTGGTGTACCTGGTGTACCATCTTCACCTTTAGGTCCTCTTGGTCCTGGTTCACCTTGTGGTCCTCTTTCACCTGTGTCACCTTTAGGTCCTGTTGCACCTCTTGGTCCAGGTGGTCCAGGTGGTCCTTCTGGTCCAGTATCTCCAGTATCACCTTTTTCACCTTTTTCACCTTTAGGTCCTTGTGGTCCAACTTTAGAAGCAGCTTCTTCTATATTTTTTACTGTTTGTTTTGTTGAAGTTTTTGATTCTTCTAAAGATGATATTGATTCTTCTTTTTCTGTTTTTGATTTTTCAGAACTATTTTCTGATACAACACCAATCATAGCAGTTGTTGTACCAATAGCTACAACACCTAAAACTAATAATCCTTTTTGTAATAAAGATGCTGTTTTAATTTCATCTTTTAATTCTTTAAAATAATTATTCATTTCATTCCCCTTTTTTATAATTTTATATTTATTTTTTTATTATTCATTTTTTTTTATTTTTTATTCATTTATTTATAATTAAAATATCAAAAAATAAAAAAATCTAATTTTTTAAATTTTAAAATTATTAATCATTATCAAAATTAATAACTGACATTATAAATTCTCAAACATATAAATTTTTAACTTTTATTAATCTTAACTTTTTATATTAATATAATTTATAGTCTTCATCATTTCTTATAATTATTGCTAATCTAAAAAATAATTCAATATTTACATTATTTTGAAATTACTCTATAAATTCTTCTGTTAAATATTTATTTTTTAAAACAGATAGTAAATATACATCAAATGAATATATTAATGAAATTGTTTCAATAATTAATAATAATTCTTGTTCTTTTTTTTTTTTTTTTTTAATTTTCTATTATATTAGAACTTGTCCTGTTTTTTTCTGTTCTGGTTTTTTGTTATGATTTTTATTTTCTTTTTGATGGATTTTGTTCTTTTGTTTGACTTAAACTATCAAAATTAGGTATTGATCTTTTGGTTTTTAAAATTAAATTATCAATTTATACTTGTTTTGAATTTTATAGATCTTTTTTTTATTATCCATATGATTTAAATAAAATATCAAATTATCTTTTTTTATTCTTATTCTTTTATTTTTTGTGAAATATCTAAAACTGGTTTGGAATTTTTGTTGTTAAACTTGACATATCTGGTTTTATTATTATAGTTTGTTTTTAATCTAATGCTTTTTTAAATTTTTGTTTATTTTTTATTTTATGTTTAGTTTTAAAATTATAAATTTTAGAAATTTTTTCTAATTTTTCTGATTTTTTATAATTATTAATTAATAATGATAAATATAAAATCATTGAAATTGTAATTATAATAAAAAATTATTTTTAAATTACATTTTTATATTTTTTTCATTTTATAGATTTTTTTATAAAATGAATAATAAAATGTATATATATTCAATATATAAAATAAATAATATTATATTTGCTATAATTTATTATTTCTAAATTTTAATTTTTTAATATTTTTTAATTAAATAGTAATAATTTTAAATATTTATTATTATTATTATTATTATTATTATTATTATTATTATTATTATTATTATTATTATTTATAAATAGATTTTTTTCTTTTATATTTTTTTAAATAATCTTATTTATATATAACAATATATCTTAATAAATATTTTTTAACTTTATTAATTATATTTTCTACATATATTTTTTTAAAAAAATTATATATGAACAAACATTAAATTTATAAATTATACTTTTTTAAATATTTAATAAATTTTTTAAAT